CCTCTGGGGGATGGGGAGCCAGTGGAGGCGAGCGAGGGTGGGAGTGATGTGGTCCCGAAGCCTGGTGCGGGACAGTACACGAGCTGCAGAGTTCTGAATGACCTGCAGCTTGTGGAGGGAGGTGGCGGGAAGGCCGGCGAGGAGAGAGTTCCCATAGTCCAGCCTTGAGGTGACAAAGGCGTGAACCAGGGTTTCAGCAGCGTGAGGGGTGAGGTAGTGCCGTAGTCTGGCGATGTTCCGGAGGTGATGGAAGGCGGTGCCAGTTGTGGTGCGGATGTGAGGGAGAAAGGACAGCTCAGGGTCGAACAAAACGCCGAGGTTCCTGACTGGCTTTGAGAGGTGGAGAGTGCAGCCTTGGATGCTGATGGTGTCAGCGCCTGAGGTGCGGAGGCGCTGACGTGAGCCAATCAGGAGGGCCTCGGTTTTTCGCACGTTGAGCTGAAGAAAGTTGTCTCTCGTCCAGGACTCGATGTCGGACAGGCAGGCTGTCAGGACATCGGTGGTCGTGGAGTTGAGAGTAGAGGAGGAAAGGTAGAGTTGGGTGTCATCCGCATACATGTGGAAGTTAACCCCATGTTTGCGGATGATGTCACCAAGGGGGAGCATATAGAGGGTGAAGAGGAGGGGACCGAGGACAGAGCCCTGAGGGACACCACATGAGACAGTACGGGGGGTGGAGGAGAAGCCATTCGTTGAGACGAAGTGAAGACGGTGGGAAAGGTAAGAGCTAAACCATTCAAGGACAGTGCCTTGAAGGTTGAGGTGGGAGGACAAGCGGTGGAGTAGGATAGCGTGGTCGACCGTATCGAATGCTGCCGATAGGTCGAGGAGGACGAGGAGACAGAGGGAGCCCTGGTCACAGATGGTCAGGATATCATTGGTGACCTTGACCAGGGCAGTTTCTGTGCTATGAGCAGCACGGAAACCTGACTGAAGGGGTTCAAAAAGAGAATGGGTGGAAAGGAAAGAGCGCAGTTGGGAGGCGACAACTCTTTCCAAGACCTTGGAGAGAAAGGGGAGGTTGGAGATGGGCCGGTAGCTTGATAGCTGCGACGCATCAAGGGAGGGTTTTTTCAGGGTGGGCGTGATGATGGCAGTTTTTAATGGAATGGGGACAGAGCCAGAGGAGAGGGACAGGTTTATGATGTCAGTGATGTGTGGGGCAAGAAAATGGAGCTGGGAGATAAGGAGTGGAGTGGGGATGGGGTCAAGGGAGCAGGTGGTTGGTTTTAGGGATAGGATGAGTTCAGTGACAGAGGGTGGGGAAACGGGTACGAAGGTGTGTAGGGGAGGATGGGTAGGAGTCGGAGTGTGGGAGGGAAGGGGTGGGTGGTGGGTGGAAGTTGGAGGGGAAGTGACCGCGGAGCGGATTCCCTTGATCTTGGATTCAAGGAAATCCAGCATCTCCTCGCAGTGAAGGTTGGAGGAGATGACCTGCGCGGGGTGGCGGGGGGACGGAGGAGTCGGGATGTGGTGGAAAACAGTAGCCTGGGGTTGTTCTTCGCCTCCAGGATTATCCTGGAGTAGAAGGACGACTTGGCCGAGGCTAGAGTGGAGCGGTAAATTTTGAGGAGGTCCAGCCAGATTTGTCGGTGGACCGTTAGGCCAGATTTGACAAAGGTGCGCTCAGCAGCCCGCACCTGGCATTTCAGTGAGCGGAGGTGGGTGGTGTACCAGGGGGAGGAGCGGGAGTAGGAGACAGTGCGGGAAGTGATGGGGGCAAGAGTATCGAGTGTGGAGGAGAGGATATTGTGGAGGAGGGAGAGAGGAGAAGAGGGGTCGGTGAGGGTTGAAGGCCAGAGGGAGAGGAGTTCAGAGGACTCCAAGGCATCGGTTAGGGATTGTGGGGGTAACTTCTTCCAAGGGCGGTAGAAGATGGTGGTGGGTCTGGTGGAGGTGGGGAGGGGGGTGGAGGTGGTGAAGGAGATGAAGTAGTGGTCGGAGATGGCCTTGTCGGTAATAGTGACATCCGAGACACTGAGGCCCCGGGTGATCACCAAATCGAGTGGGTGGCCGTGACTGTGAGTGGGGGAGTTTATGTGTAGGGAAAGGTTGAGTGAGGAGAGCAGGGAAGAGAAGTCTGTGGAGATGGAGCAGGAGGGGGTGAAGTGTAGGTTAAAGTCGCCCAGGATGATGAGGCGATCAGAGGAGAGGCAAAGAGATGTGAGGAGTGTTGAAATGTCAGAGATGAAGGTGGGAGAGGTTTTAGGGGGCCGGTAGAGGAGGAGGATTTTAAGGGAGAGGAATGAGGGGTGGGAGAGGGTGAGGTGCTCAAAGGAGGGGAAAGAGCCAGTGGAGTAGGGAGATAGGGCAAGTGGTGTCCTTGAGATAAGGGCAACACCACCGCCACGGCGGTTGGGGCGGGGGATGTGGTGGGAGGTGTAGCCGGGTGGCGTGGCCTCCGTGAGGGGGAAGGTGTCGCCTGGGGTGAGCCACGTTTCTGTTAAGGCCATGATATCAACGTTCTCATCAAGGATGAGATCGTTGATGACCAGGGCCTTGTTGCAGAGGGAGCGGACATTTTGCAGTCCGATGTGGAGGGAGCGGTTGACAGAAGGGTGTGTGGGAGGGGAGGGGGGTCCAGGTTGTGAGGCAGGGGTGGGGGAATGGGGATGAGGGAGGAGAGGTTGACTCCCCGGGTCTGTGTCCGGGGTGGCTGGCGAGAGTGGTGGGGAATGGGGCAGTCGGTGTGGCTGCTGCTGGACAGCCAACGCCGAGTGCCACGGTGAGCCCGGCGGAGGATTCCCAGGCTGGAGCAGAGGGAGGTTGTGGGAGGGTCAAGTGGGGATAGAAGACGAGAGGGACGGAGAGAGAGGAGGAGAGAGCGGGAGAGATGCAGAGGGGGGAGGGTTTGGGGGGAGAGAGGAGGGGGGAGGGAGGGAGGGGGTGAGGGGGCTCGGGTCAACATTAATGTTGGACATTAAGGACATTAATGATTCTGACACTTTTCCAAAAGAGAAGGCCGTTTCTCCTGGTATCCTGGTCAACAACCTCCAAATAAAATTGGTATTCACTTTATGTTTGTTTGTGCAATGTTACCTGCCACATTTCATCAATAAAATACAGTCTATCCATATCAGACTTTACAGTATATTCTGTGAACCACTTTGAAATGTGCTCCTGAAGTGAAAGATGCAAGGAGGATTATTATTCAATCAGATTGGGTCTGCAGCAGTGAACCTCTGATCTTGGAATTTTTCTAGATGCAGTAATTTGAACTTGCCACACGAGGGCAGGCCATATTCATTTAGAGGCTCCAATTGTTTTTTCAGACAGTTAAGTTGCTTCATTGAAATTCAGTTTTCCTTACAACTTAAATTTCTGTCTTCACACAAGATTGGTCTGGACTAATTGATTATCTGTGCTATTTGGGATGGGTTCTATTGCTGATAAACAAGCAGTGTGGACTATTGGACATGCATAATAATAATAATCCTTGCATTTGATATAGCGCTTCATCACATCTTCGAGATGTCTTGCGTGCTTCACAGAATATACTGTAAAGTGAATTGACTGTATTTTCTGGGTGAATATAGATCCACAAATACAAATTGGCTGCAGTCCAAACTTTAAAAAAAAATTACATTAGGAGTTATCATCCTCTTCTCACTCTGCATTGGAACATCAATGCAGTTAAATAGAAATTAAGATAATTGGTGTGCGGAAATCTCGTGTTATACTGAGCTACTAGTCAATAGTGAACATTGCACATTAAAGTTCACTCTGATTTGTGAAACAATACCTTAGCATACACCTTTTACACTGACCAATTTTAGGTAGATGAGGACTGAGTTTAGCGACAAACACCGGGTGATGAGGCGAACTCCACAAGATAAATAAACAGATGTTCTTCAAAATGTTGTAAATATGCGTGCCAAGTACATGCCCCACCTGACACATCCCAAAGGATTGACTTGATTTCACCTTGGAGTCAGCTCAACCCCAGGAGACACTGCTTACCTCCCCTCCTTCCGCTCCCTCAAAGGGGGTTAGTCACTAGTTGGAAATTTGAAACCAAACAAGTGCAGGTTTGAGCCTTGACAGACCCAGGTTTGAGCCCTCATTAGGA